GTTCAGAAAACCATGTCCATAAACTTCTTGATGCAGGTTGTTACTTATTTCTTCTACAAGAATCTGACATTTACCTTGACACAATTTTGGTTTACTTTCCATACTGGATTCTCCGGCCAAAGGTTCTATGATGACTGGTTCCAATCCCTCTACAATGTTATCTTTACAGCCATGCCTGTAATTGCACTTGGGCTTTTCGAGAAGGTACTCAAAGTGTTTTATTATTTTGCCATGGCCACCTGATTTACCCCCTACTATAGAAATGATATTTTCACTCACGTTTTCCCCGGTTTATTAGATACTGTTGATGATGATGTAACCCTCTTCAATTATTGTAGGATGTCAGTGCCTCCCTTTCCAAGAAATATCCCGAGCTATACATGGAGGGAATTAGAAACACATTTTTCAAATGGCGAGTTGTGGGGGTTTCAGCTTTCTTTGCAGTTAGTCAATCGCTGATACTGTTTCATTTTGTGACTTCTTCTAGTACCAAGAGCATGAATTCAGCTGGCAAGACATTTGGCCTGTGGGATGTCAGTACGATGGCCTTCACTTGTGTTGTCGTAACTGTCAATCTGCGTCTCCTAATGATGTGCAACACAATCACAAAGTGGCATCGATTTACTGTTGGTGGAAGCATATTGTTATGGTTCATATTTGCCTTTATATACTCCGGCATTATCTTGCCAAAAGCTCAGGTGGGATTTTACACCTTTTCTGTTTGCCTTACTCGACCATTTATATGCTGACCCCATCCACATGGTCTACAGATGAACATATATTACGTTGTATATGTCGTTATGAGTACATTTTACTTCTACACCATGCTGCTGCTTGTTCCTGTTGCTGCACTCTTCGGCGACTTCTTATATCAGGGGTAAATTTTTGGATTTATGTCGTGGTTGGTTTTGTTAGAGTATAAAACCTTTCCTGGACCTAAAACCAAAAGTTTGAGCTTGAGCTTTTGGTTGAGTTGGTTCCTTGGCATGGTATATGACCAAGAGGTCACAAGCTCGAACTCACTGTCACCTAATATTAAAAAAAAGTATTGTTCACGTGTTAGGCTCGCCTACACGTGAGGGGGGCGAGTTAGATGATAAAACCTTGCTTGGACCTACAACCAGAAACTTGAGCTTTTGGTTGAGTTGGTTTTTTGACAGGTTTCACTTAAATCTATTGTTCTTGTTTGGTAACTTCACAAGGGTTGTGTCGTTCTTTGTTCAGGGTTCAAAGATGGCTGTTCCCCTATGATTATCAGATTGTTCAGGAAATTCACAAGGATGATGTTGAAGGACTGGATATGGGACTGCTGGAGGTTGGAAATGATGAGCTCACACCCGACGAGGCAAGGAGCCACGCGATGATGCAACTCCCAGGACAGAGAGCAAAGCACACAGGTTTTGCTTTTGATTCGCCCAGTTACGAGTCGTTTTTCGCGTCCCAGGCTGGGGTCTCAGCCCCTCACAAAGCCTGGGACATTGCTCGCCGAGCTAGCATGAAGAGGTTTCGGACAAAAGGTCACCGGAAGAGCTGAATTCATATCATTCGGAGAAAAAAAGGAGAAAAGATTAGAAAATCTTTTACTTTTCTTTCAAGCATTGGATGGAAACTTTTACTAGGGCCAGGGATATATGTCAAATTTCGATGTATGTGTGCCATATTCTCAATTCTTTTCAATTCATGGTCATTGCTTTCTTAGAACTTGTTCTCTTCAACTTATTCTGATTGGAATCAGATCAGATTAGTACCAACATTAGATATATCTACAATCAGATCAGACTAGATCAGAACGTATTCCAATCATATCAGAACCAACCTGATCAAGTGAAGAGAACAAGTCCTTAATGTATTATATATCTTTTCTCCCCTACCACTCACTCATTCAAAGCTAGCTTGTTACCAAGAAAGACATGATTAAAAAATACTCCCTCCGTCCTATAATGATCTTCCCAGAGCACTATTCCAACTTCACGGAAATTTATATTTATTTGTGTTTTTTCATGGCCTATATGATAAAATAAAATATTCTTGTCACCACTTGTTTTGTTGAACTTTTGGTGTAGTTTTTAAATATGTATGTTTTATTTTTTATTTCTATACCAATATTTAAATAAAATAGATTGAAAAAACTTGAGATTTTTCTTCGTTTTGCGAACCGGGAAGATCATTATAGGACGGAGGGAGTAAAAATAAAGAAAAAGAAGAAAAAGGTATTGGATGTCGTCATCCCATGACATTACTTCCCAATGTCAAGGGAACGATAGTGTTGTTTAAAGTATATGTTGAAAAATTGTCGTTTGAGTGTTCTAGCAATGCTTAGAAACGGCTAGGGGTCGATTGACTTGGCGAGTAAAATCGAGTTTAAACGCAAAAATGATACATTCTTATAAGCTTGAGAATTTGTGTGGACTATGCTTCGGACTACCGTCCTTACGGATTTAATAATTTGGAAATCCGACACTGCCAGTCGGTACTTGTTGGTACCATCCAAAATGCTTAATGTGGTGTTTGTAGTAACGCGATACTTTGTTAAATTTTTAACAAAGGAAGTATATAGCTTGGTTAAACTCTAAATACGATAAGTGATTATCTACTCCAAAATTTTAAGGATAATTACCTCAGCTCATAAACTTTGATATAAAGTCTTAAAGATGTTGTGTAATTACTTTGTCAAGCTTTTAATATATGTGCACTTTTTTTTTGGAATAAAAAATACTACGTATATGCTAAATAAAAGTGAAGTGTACGTAGAAGTTGTGAGTGTAATGATAAAAAATGTTCAAAGCAAAAGAAAGAAATGGCACGCATACAAAGAGCTTCATTCGTAGCTACCTCATCACTCACACTATATATATCAGAGTATAAAGCAATGTGTCTCCCCTTATCACTTTTTAACCTCTTCTCTTTTTTTTTGCCTTTTAAAAAGATGTAATAATCTACTTAATAAGTTCAAAATCCATTAAAGAACATCAAATCATAAAATTTCTTCATGGACAAATATAATCGGGTTTGGTGGCCTGAAGAGTGTGCAAAGTAGCCGGCCGCACAGGGTCCCTAAAATTTTAGGGCCCTATAGTTTTAAATTAGGCATAAATTTTAAAGCATAAATATTCTTAAAAAATAAAATAGGGCTCAAAATGTAAATTTTGGACCGGACCATTTTTATTTTTTCATTTTTCGGGGCCGCCGGTCCTGAATTCATTTTTCCTTTATACAACTTTTTTTTGTCACAATTTAAATTGTCTGTTTGTTATCCATAGAGTAAAACTTTATTCACTTTATTCATTTTTGTTACTAGTTTGATAAAATAATATAGTCATGCAACTTGTTATTTTTTAGAATTTTTTATATATTTTTTAAATATATGGATTTTAGTTTTTAAATCTACCCTAATTTTAATTCATATAAATGTATTTGAAAATAGCTTTAGTCAAATATCGTAAAAAAACAAGGCATTATGGGACAGAAGGACTAACAATGAATTTTTCATATATACTTCCTCCATCCAATGTATATGTTCAGTTTTTTAATTTGAATGTCTCACTTTTTCTTGGAAAAGTTTTGGTCCTTTTACTTTCCCAAGTTCGTCTTTATTTATTCACTCCCACAAGAAGTACGAATAAGCTTAGTGGCGTGACTACTTCCTCCCTCTCAAAAAATTTGATGTTCACTGTTGTTACATTTATATGGTTTTGTCTTTAATTTTATACAAATTGTTATATAAATTACTTTAAAAATAACTTCAGTCAAATAATATCACAAATTTGAGTCATCTTATATCTTTCTTCTTCTTTCCTCAAATAAAAACACTATTCGTTTTATATATAATTAAAAGATTGTTTTTTTTACCCTTTTGCCTTATTCACATCTTTTACATCTCTCTTCAATTTAATATATTTCCATGGAAAAAAAAGAAAAATCTTATATTTATTCTATCTTATATTTAAAATGTGTCAAACAAAACAAAAAAAATATAAAACAGAGCAATTGAACTAATTGAAGTACCTTTTGCTCATAAATATTATTGGTCAAACATATTACACGGAAACCAAAACAGACACTTAAATAGGAATAGAGGGAGCATAAAGTATTACTCCACTATGTATTTAATTCTTTCTAATCTTTTCTAACTGTCCGATTTTTTTCCATGCTCAACGTTTGACAAACTATAACTCTTAAAATATAAATTCTAAAAGTGTTTTTCGATACAAACAATACTCCGTATGGTATGACGGAGTAACTTTTATATTTTAAATAATTATATACTCTACACACACACTCCATCCGCGTCTAGATTTAATCTTTTCATTTGTCTTTTTGCTGTCTCCAATGTAACACTTTGATAATTAATATCGATATTTATACATAGATATACATTAGAAAATATTAATATTTCAAAACTAGGTTTCAAATGTATTCTTATATATCAACACGTAACATACTTTTATACATATCGAGGTCAAAGTTTATAAACTTTTATTAATAAAAAAAATCGAATGAGAATATTAAATCCGAACGAAAGGAGGAATTAAATAAACGTTTGGCACACAAAGGGGAACACTTGAAAAAGGAAAATGGAGGGAGTATGCATCAAATTAAAGGAGTGTGCCAATGATGAATTGAACCATCTCTATCAATATATAGCCCATCCATGTCTTACTAAATTAATATGGAGTATATTTATATTGTTCCATTCTGGCTATAAAAGATTTGTATTGCCCATCTTCCCAGCTTAGCCCATATATATTCATCACTCCCATCTATATCCTTCAATTCTCTACACATACATAAATAGTAATATTACTTGTCTCCCAAATAAAAGAAAATATATTCACATATTTATTTAGAGAGAAATCTATAAAATAAATTTACTATATATAACTTTTTTCTTGGAGGCAATTTAAATTACTATATTTAGTTTGTGTAAAAGTAGTTAGTTATGGCTTGGAAGGTCTCCTTTTATAGCTCACTAATTTTGATAGGAGTTATTGTAACGTCATCGTTGTTGCTACGACTGTTCGTCGTTGCTAATAGCAGCGACGACACAGCAGCTGCAACGACAATGATAAATTCTCATCTCCCGCGGCAGCCGCCGCCCACGGCTGGCGGTGGAGGAGGAGGAGGAGGAGGAAGCCGCCGGAGCATGAAGCATACAAAGCAGCAGCATGCAGATCTCAACTTCATGAGCAAAAGGAAAGTGCCAAATGGACCTGACCCTGTCCATAACCGGTTAGTTGATTTATTTTTACTTTTTTTTTGTGGTTTTTATTTATTTGGTTTGATTTGCTTTCAAAAGTTAATAAATATAGACATAAAGTGTATATTTCATTTATTTTTTAATGTATCTAAAAAAATTATAAGTTGTGTTCTCGTGGTACTAAGATTCACATACTTTTTATGGACTCGTTGTTGGATCGACCCAATATATCTAATCTTTGTTTTACAAAAACACATTTTTTTAATACAGTTAATATGGGAATAAAAGGAGAAACATTTACATTTATTATTTCAATTCTCGTCAATCTATACCGCAAATCATAAATATACTGCAATACTTATTACCCTTGGATGCATATGAATGATGTTAAATAAACTGATTGGTGTAGATAAAATGTGATCATTTGATAACTAATCATTAAAAGTGAACGGATAATTAGTTTGATATCTAAGACAAACCTTTTTATTAGCATAAAATGAAATGAAAAATATTATATTATAGACAAACTACAAAAGAAAGTGAGAAGAAAATTGAGAGAATAAGTTCGAATGCTCCAATATCTCTCCCCAATAGAATATCAAATTATCAAAGTTTTAGCTTTTTATAACATTCTGTCAGAAAATTACTCACGGGTGACGCAAGTTTTTTTGAAATAACTCTCAGGTCCCTCTATTTTTAAGAAGACAACAGAGGTCTTTACATTTTGTTGTAATGACTGGAAGGAGACATTTCATCCAATATTTCATCTATAAACGTTAATAAATGTATTTTTTCCTATTCTTTTCTAAATGTTCTAAGGTAATAAATCTTAGGTCGCTCCTTTTTTTATTTCTTTGTTTTTCTTTCATTTTGTTACTATTTTTTAAAGTGTTATTTTAGAATTTCTTCAATAAAATCGTATACAAATTCAAAATTGTTTGTATTATATTAAAACAAATGAAATAAAAAAAAATTTAAAAAAAGAAAAAACAAGGTAATGGCAAAATAGGAAAAAATGGTATTGGAAAAATAGGAAAAAAATACATTTATTAACACTTATGGATGATGTATTGGATGAAATATTCCCTACCAGTCATTACAACAAAATATAAGGACCTCGGTTGTCTTTTTAAAAATAGAGGGACCTGAAAGTTATTTCGACAAAACTCGCGTCACCCGATAGTAATTTATTGCACCCTTTAAATTTTGAATTACATGTTCCAAGAATAATAGCCAATGAAAGAAATTCATAATCCCTTCGTCCCAAAATGTTTTTTCTGTGTTGACTTGACACGCTTATTAAGGAATAGTAAAATTACATGTTCCATATATGAATAATAGCCAATGAAAGAAATTGATACTCCATAGTCCTAAAATCTACCATGAGAAATGTAGATCTTATCACAATTTAAAGTAGATACTTTCACTCTTGCTAAGGTATATAAAATGAGTATTGACCACGAAACACATAAGAATTTGCCTGCTCTGTCTTAAAAGTAACTTTCCGTTTTAGTTTACAACGTTTAACAGAATTTATGTTTAATTCAATTTATTTGAATATAAGTTTAAATTTAAAAATAAATTTTATATATTTAAAAACTATACTAAAAGTTCTACAAAAGTAGATGTGACATGATTATATTACTTTATCAAATGACTAATGAAAATAAACAAAGAAAATAAATAAAGTTTGACCATGTATATAGTAACTAAAAATATAGTTTTAGGACAAAGAGAGTAATTAATTTTGTATTCTATCCATATCTGATTCTCCCTCTATCCCTAAAAGATATTTTTGTTTTATTTTTGCGCATCCCATAAAATACATTTACCTTACCTCAAACTTCTAAGATACCCTCAAAAGAACTTCCTCTCGCGTTAAAAGAAAAACGGGAGAATTTTAGACATTATAGATGTCGGCGGAAGTATTGTATGGGCCGATGTGCGAAAAATGAAATGAGATCATCTTTTTGAAACAGAGAGTACGTCTTTAGGAACGTGGGGTATTAATTTATGTATATTTTTCTTTTTAGTATACTTCATATGTCTTAACTCATTGTGCTTATTGGGCATTCACCTCTGCATAATTTTTAATTATACAATAATGTTTCATTTTGTATATCTATCCAAGTTAATATTTAATTTATCTATGCAGCATAACCTACTTTAGTTAAGTTAATGCACGAATATGAAAAAGAAGAACAAAAAAGCAGTCTCTTATTAGCTCCACTTTATTCCACCTCCAAGCTAAGAATTGAAAAAAAAGACCTTTCATTTTGGTTTATCTCTGCATTTAAGCTTCCCTTTATAAGCTTTTTTTGTCCTCTTTTCTTTTTCTTCTCCTTTACCTTTTCTCCCCCTCCTAATTTACTTTTTTGGCATGCAAATATGCAATATATTGGCATGCATATTACATATACTTGCATTCATCCTAAATTAAAATCACTCCCTCCGTCTCTAAATGAATTGCCTTTTTTGATCAACGTGCAAAATCTCGTAACTTTTAAAATAATTTTATTTATAAATTATCAAATAATTGAAAAATAAAAATTTTATATTTAAAACATATGTCAAAAACTCTACAAAACAAGAGGTTACAAGAATATTTTATTTAATTTAATGATCAATGAAGACATGCAAACAAATAAAAGTTACCGAGAAACCGTAATAGTAAAGAGATAATTCCTTTTAGAGACATTACCGAGTTTGATTTTCACGTATTTTAGAAAAAATATTTAAAAATAAAAAAAAAGGTTTACTCCGTTGAATTTATTTTGAAGCTAGAGAGAAAAATTAAAAGGAGAATTTACTTAAATAGTACTAAAACATAATGACTTTCCCTAAATAGCATCATATGTATTTTCTTTAATATAGTATGTTTACTCATTATCCATTAGTCATTATTCAAGTAAATGATCACCATCAGTGGACATTATTCCTCCTTCTGGACATTATTATGTGTTATTTAGAGAATAAAACAGTTTAAGTCCAATTTAGGAAAATGATTTAAGTTTTAGTGCTATTTAGTGCAAATATTTCAAAATTTTATTATGACTCAAATAATATTATATTATTCCATGCGCATTTCGAATTAAATTTTCTCAAAGCAAGATTATTTCTTGCATTTAATTGTTAATTATCAAAAAAATTCAATTTATTTAATACCGCATATTGTAATTAATTAACAGGAGAAAAGGAGACTCCCATCGATCGCCGGGCAGAGATTAATTAGCTTGATGAGAAGTCATTAGCCATGCATGAATTAATGGTCTAACCAAGAAGAGCACAACCTGCATGAAGGAATTATAATTATAACAACATCATTATTAATTGTATGTAATTTATTTATTAATTTAAAAGAAAAAAATGGGACTGATCTGATCTCCATTTCACTAAACTTGTATGGCTATGTTTATCACCCGGGCACGGAATTGTATTCTTTTTTGTAGGCTAATGGATTAATCTATTTAACAAAGAAACTAGGGCTGAGCATGGTATATATCTTAGGGTACGATATTTAGCTGCTACCGATACCGTACCAAATACATTTTTGGTTCGGTAAACAATTTTACATCGTACTGATCCCGATCCAGAAATTTTGGTTCGGTATGTTTTGGGATGTTTCGTTATCAATTCCAGTAAAAATTAATCTAGATGATGACATACGTACCTAATTTATTTTATTTATACTTTAAAATAAAACAATTTTTTTATTTTTTTAAAATCAAAAGTACATTTATATAAAGAAACATTAAAAAACTCAAAAATGAATAATTTAATACTCCCTCCGTCCCTGAAAACCTTTATCCTTCCTTTTTTCATCCGTCCCAAAAAACGCTTCTTATTTCTATTAAAAAGTCACTTTCATCCCTTATTTTTTCATACCCTACCTATCACATCATACCTTTTTACTAATAATTTATCCATCAAATCATACTTTTATCCATCACATCAAAGGACATTTTTGGAAATTGAATACCAAAATACACTAACCTTAAATCTCTTCAAAATCAAAACATCTCATGTTTAAAGGGACGGAGGGAGTACAATAAATTGTTATGAAACCTAATTCATATTTCATAAACAAAAGAGAATGAATGATAATTTAATTTACAATAATCACTACCATAATAACAATACTCCTTTAATTTGTCAAACTTTTTCACACTTTGATCACTAATAATTATAGTTTTAAATAAATAAATAAATGTTATAAATATTTGATATATCAAAACTAAATTTTAAATTGCACCTAAACATAATAAATTTACATTATAATTAAATACTCTTATTGTACCTCAAAAAATTTTCTCTCTTTTCATCTGTCTCAAAAATCTTTTCCACTTTTTATTAAAAAATTACTTTTACCCTACTAATTCTTACCATACCTATTACATCATATCTGCTAACTAATAACCTAACAATTGCTGGTAGGCCTTGCGTAGTTGGCAAGTCAATGGGTGTTTAGGAGGTAACACCCGAGTTTGATTCTTAACATCTACCGTGAGAGGCAATTATGCTAAACATAGAGCCTCTGCAAGTACCATATACAAGCTTAGACAAAGGAGTATTTTTTTTTTACAATTTATGGTCAAAGTGTGTAATATTTTAACTATAAATAATCTTTTGGGATGAGACAATTATATTACTTGTTAGAGTGTTATCCCACATCGAAAGTTCAAGAGCAAAAATAACCAGTATATAAGCTCTTGAACTGAACTAACTAATAGATTGGATTCAATCTTTTAATGTGGTTCAATCCAAGTGTCTCATTACTCAATCCAGTTATCAATACCCTCCAAAAATTCTATCATTGTATCAGAGCAGGTTTTGGCCCACCTCGGTTGTCAAGGTGTTCGTCTAGACGTTCATTCCTAGCGGCCCGTTAGTCTTTAGCCCAGTTATCCGTATGGAGTATGTACCCAACGGCCTATGGCCTGTTTAACACGATTGCTTGTCTGGAAGTCCATACCCAGTGGCTCGTGGTCCTTTAAGGTGTTGGCGCTCAAAAAAATCAAGGGAATGGGAGTGTATTTGCAAGTGGTCAACCGGTTAGATTCAAAATGGCCTGGTTGTCCACTTGAGGGGGAGTGTTAGAGTGTTATCTCACATCGAAAGTTCAAAGCAAAAATAACCGGTATATTAGCTCTTGAACTAAACTAACTAATAGATTGGATTCAATCTTTTAATATGGTTCAGCCCAAGTGTCATGATAGAATTTGGGATGGGTATGGACAACTCGATTGGGCAATAAGACACTTGAGCTGAACCACATTAAAATGATAGAATTTGGGATGGGTATGGACAACTCGATTGGGCAATAAGACACTTGGGCTGAACCACATTAAAAGATTGAATCCAATCTATTAGTTAGTTCAGTTCAAGAGCTTATATACCGGTTATTTTTGCTCTTGAACTTTCGATGTGGGATAACACTCTAACATTACTCCCTCCATCTCAAAACATTTGTCCAATATAATTTTTTCGATTCAAACTAGATAAATTTTAATTATTAATTATATTGAATTTAGGTTACATCCTTTATCTTTTACTAAAACTAGTATTCTAACCTGTGTCATGCATGGAGTGTAATGAATTTTTTATTTCGAATTTTTTATTTTTCTTTACTACATCAATTTTTTAAATAAATAAAACAAAATAAAACTTCAACCTTAAAAATTTGAATAATGATAAAACATATAACATTTAAAAATTAACATGTCAAAGTTTTATTTAAATTAGAACATTTTAAAAAATTGACATATACAACATTTTTTGTGTGGCATTATAAAGACTATCAAAGACATTTATAACTAATACTTCCAACCATACTTATGCTCTCACTCACGAAATAATTAACAATATAAAATTAATCGTAAATGACTATAGACTTGGTAAAAAAATCTTATAAATGACAATTTTTTGCCCTAACTTTTATTTAATAATCATAACGAAACATAAACTAGTAATTGAAAATTGTATCCTTTAAAACTTCAAGTGTAATCCTGTATGAAATGATACATAATTCATTTAGGTTGTACAGTGTAAATTCAAACCTTCTCTGCTACAACTTTGTTTCCTAATACTACAATTACGTCGAAGACGATTTTTAGCAACTCTTCAATGATTAACTTACAAAATTCATATGATTAATCAATGTTTCTGGATAAAATAAGAGATACAAATTTCTTCGATTTATGATGTGACTTTAAGGCTTAAGATTCCCAAAGATTTATTCTCATTCATAAACTCATGTTTTATACAATCGCTACTTTTTGAAAAATAAATCACTATTTTAAAAAATAAAAGATATTACAAGAAAAACTGGAGGGAGTCAATCAACTTCTCATGCTCTAGGAATGTGCAGCTCGAGCTAACACATGAGCAGTTACATTGGTACGTAGAACAATAAGTAATGACTCCTATTTTGATATTTTCATAGTTTTTACTTTTATCTAGAAAATTCTCCCAAAAGTAAATTTAAACTTAATGTCTCTCTCACAAATACACTACTAGGGGTGGGCGTGAAATTCGTTCCTATTGGACCGTTCCAAAAAATCCTGAATCCGTTTTGTAATTGTACCGAATAATTGGGACACAATTTTTTTTATCCCGAACCCGTTCCGTCCTATTATCAAATGGGACATGAGCGGGACAACTTAAATTTATATCGATCCGTCCCGTTTGTCCCGTTTTATCTACTTTATTAATATATAATTTTAGTTCTATACACTCATTCTTTGATGTAGAATTGAGGTCTACAACATGCAAGGTTCCTCTTGAAGACAAAGATGAACATATTCTTGAAGTTGGTGATGATGTTGGAGATTCAGGAAATGAAAGTGAAGAAGAAGATCATGATAATTACAATGATTCTCACTGATCATCTAAATGCTGATTTTTGGTTTTTGTTGGATGCTACTGCAATACTACCTGTTGTTTTTGTTTTTTTTTGAATGAAATGTCAGGTGCCTTAGTTGCTCAACAAGCGAAAATAGAGGCTAATCCGAAGCAGAATTTTTGTTCTAGTGCTTGGTTTTTGTTCTACCCAATATTTTTGTTCATATCTTTACATGGGAAATGACCGAAATGTCTAGTTAAACATTAATGTACAGAATTTTATTTTTTTAGAAGTTTCTGTGGACAGTAGCTAATTGCTTGGTGTACGTGTACACAACTAGTTTTTGGATGTCTTTGGGAGTTAATGACTTTTATTTATGACTTTTGGATTGAGTACCCCCTCTTATATTTGGGATTAGGACAAAGTAGGACGACCTGAATCCGTCTCGGTTTGTTCCGATCCCGAATTTTATGGGACAAACCGGGATAAGATTGTAATCCGAACCCTTCTGGACCATTTATATATAACGGGACAAGACGCGGAACAATCTAAAATCCGGACCGTCCCGATCCATGCCCACCCCTATACACTACACTTAAAATCTTCAATACTAGAATTAAAATAAGACTACTCATTGATATAATTATTAAGTGCATCAACTACTTCTTTGCAATCTGTTTTCACAATGATAAACCTTCCATCTTTGTCCTTGATCCAGATTAAAACCTCCTTTAATGTAATTGTCTACGCTTCTCTAGATCCAAAATATCCCTACAATACAAATTCCATGTTGCAATAAAAGTTTCTTGATAGTCTCGAGCAATAAAATTGAACCTCATTAATAATGATTTTATTATTAATGAAATGAAAAAAGATATAAATTAGAAAAATATATTGCAATAAAAGCGATGAGCTCTATTCCACAATTAAATTTTTACTCAATAATATTAAAATCATAAAGAATGTTAGTGTAAACATAGTATATCATGGTAAAACATTTTTTGACCAATTATATTCTATATGAAAAATATCATATAGTATATAACTAAAAATATTATATTTTTCATTTAAATAATTAATAATCTAAGGACTATAAATAATAAATTGTCTAGTAATAAGATCAAATCATGAAATCAATATATTCAAATTTTGAAATTACGTATAATATTTTTTTAAATTTTAACACATTTTTATATAAAATGTAAATTTTAAAAAAAATTAATAAATGTATATAGAGGTGGAGAGAGTATCTTATTTAATGTTTATAACTTTTGTTATAAATTAAGTGAAACTTTTATTAATTTTAAGTTTTGTAGTCAATATTTTTTTAAAGTGTCATTAATTATTATGTCAAAGTTGAACAATTTTTAGCTTTAAAACCTAAATCAAGAATCACAAAATAACTTCTTATGTGACTTTTTAAAAACCTAAATATGCAA